GCTGGAGCGCTTGAACTTGACGGGCTTGTAGCTCAGCACCTCGCTGATGGCCGCCTCCAGGTCTGGGTCCAGGTAGCTGCGGTGGCTGACGGGCCGTATGTCGGGGTCTTCCGCCCGCAGTTCGTCCGAGGCCGCGGTGCGAGGCCGCGGGGGCACGGAGAGGCTGCGGGTGAGCGAGTGCTGGCTGTACAAGGACCGGGCGTCGCTCAGGGCCACGCTGCAGGCGTCGTCCAGCTCGGAGCGGCCCAAGGAGAGGCGGGAGGCCGGGCGGCTGTGGGAAGGGCTGAGGTCGTCCAGGCGGGAGGTGCTCCGCCGCAGGCTTCCCGGGCAGGACAGGGCAAAGCTGAGGGACGACCTGGCGTCGTCCTCGTGGGACTCCGGGCCGCACCAGGAGGCGCCGCCACGACTGAGCGGGGCGGAGAGGACCGAGGCCTTGTCCAGCTCGGCTGCCGAGAGGGAGCAGCGCTTCTCCAGCCCCCTGCGGGCCTGGCTGCTGGCCTCCGAAAGGACCGAGCCCCTCTCCTCCGCGTTGCCGGCCCCAGCGGGCTTCTTCCAGGAGGCGAGGGAACCGGCCTCCTCCAGGGCGCTGGCCGCAGAGTGGCGCTTGGCCTTGCGGAACGCGCGGTCGGGGGAGGCGGGGCGTTCGCTCAGGGTGGAGAAGAGGGTCTCCTCGTCCCCTTTGCCCCCGATGGAGTCCTTGAGGTTGGTCCGCTTCCGGTAGCTGAGGGAACTCATGACGGACACAGGCCTCTCCTCTGTCTCCTTAGCCTCTTTGCCCTCCCTGGCAACCGAAGGCACAGCTGATCTGGTGGTGGGGAGGGGAGGGGGGAAGAGGCGCGGTCAGGGAGGAAGTGAGAAACGCTCATCCGAGCCATGTGGGGAGGCCAGGAGAAAGGAGGCCCACGGTGTTGCATGGGGGGGGGAGAGCCATGGCCTTACTCTACGGTTCCAGCCCCCGGACCAATGTTCCCTTCAAGCTGTGGAGTCTTGTGAGCAAAAAGTCTGCTTTGTGAGCTGCTGGCATTAAAGTTGTGAGCGAGCGATTTGGCTACGGCACAAATCAGTTTGCTCCAGAGCCACCCTTCCTGGGCTAGGACAAAAATGTGTGAGCCGGAGGCTAAAGAAATGTGAGCTAGCTCATGCAGACTCAGCTTAGAGGGAACACTGCCCCGGAACCCCACAGCACTGACTTCATTCTGTTGCCAGCTAGCCGGCAGATGCTGGCGACACACAACAACGGACCCCCGGCACTGGGGGAAAGAAGGCACCCCCTTCCGTAGCAAGACAAACAGATCAAACCCATTAAACCAGTGTGGAGTCTGCACTGGCACTTCCCCTCTTTGGCCCACACCGACAGGGTGAGGACGACGGAAGCCACCCAAACCCCAGCCCGTGGGGGACGCCGTGGAGACCAATCTAGATCAGTCCCCAGTCGTGCAAGCGGCTCACTAGCTGTGGGAGCTGGAGAAGACACAGTGGGGGGGGGGCCCTGCAGCCTGGTGTGTGTGTGTGTGTGTGTGTGTGTGTGTGTGTGTGTTGGGTGGGGGCTCTTTCCGCTGCGTGCTGAAGAGGGAGCCTGGCGCCTCCTGCCACTTCTGAGCAGCACAAAAGGCACTTGGCAACACCCGGCAGGCAGGCTGGGCTCTCGCCGCCATCAGCGTCAGGCTTCCACGCTCCGTGCCGCCGGTTGCCATGGCAACAGGTGTCCTATAAATAGCCCGGTCTGCTTCCTGGTCACTTCCAACGGATGGGGAAGGGGAAGGGGAGGGGGTGGGGCGACTTCAGCCCAGCCGTCCTGAGCAGGGCCACTGGTCTCCGAGTCCCCTCTGGAGCCGGCCCCGGCTATTCGTGACACGGCTGCCTCTGGACTCGCAATGTTCCCTCTAAGCTGTGGAGCCTTGTGAGCAAAAATCCTACTTTGTGAGCTACTGGCAATAGAGTTGTGAGCGAGCCATTTGGCTGCTGCATTAATTAGTCTGCTCTGGAGCCCTCCTTCCTGAGCGGAGACAAAAAGGCGTGAGCCAGAGGCTAGAAAACTGTGAGCCAGCTCATACAAACTCAGCTTACAGGGAACACTGCTCTGGAGTGGAGCAGGCAGTGGGGGGGGGGGGGGGGGGGGGGGGGTCACGTGGGAGGGCGGGGCCTATTCGGAGGGAAGGGGGAGTGGTCTGCCACAAGGCCCCACCCCCAACTCGTGGTCCCGTCCTGTACCTGCAGCCATGGCTCCCGAACGCCTGCCGGATTTTGTTTCCGGCTTCTCTGTGTTGCCCGGCCCCCTCCCGCCACAGAGGTATGTGCCATCCCAAGGGGGCTGCCGCCCTGCCAGGCTCCCAAAGGCAAGGGGACACAACTTCTGCCTCGTCCACTGGCAAACGGAGTGCCAAACCGGCTCACCCAGGTGGCCCGCGGAAGGCCCAGGGTTCACTACCGGCCTCGTGTCTGTTGTTGCTGAGGACGGAATGAATCGACCGACAAGCAGCAAGCAGAGGCGGGCAGATCCAAACGGAGCTTGGCTGCGAGGGCAGGAACGGCTGACGTGGTGCCCGTGGTTCCCCAGAAGGACAAGCCTTCACCAGCTTCAGAGGGTCACAGCTAAGTGATTTGGGAACAGCAGGCCCGGCTGGGGCTGACCTCACATGGAGGGTCCGCTGCCTCCTTGGACACAAGGACCCTCCAGGCAACGGTCCCTCCTGGACATGCGCTGCAGCACTGGACAGGCTTCAACGGATGGGAAGGGAGGGGGCAGGGATTGGAGATGACACAGGAGATGCAAGGGGGCAAGGGGGATGCTGCCCTCCCACTCGGCCAGGGGAAGGACTGGTGGCCACCCCCCAAGAGACAAGGAGGATAACCTCCCGCCTCCCACTGCTAGGCCGACAAGCAGCGCTTCTGCAAGAGGAAAGAAGGATCCTCGCTGTTCGGAGAGAGCTTCACACGTACAATCTACAGAAGTGTCAGCAGGTTGCAGCGACAGTCTGGCTCACCTGTGGGCATGTCTGCACCTTCTAGAGCCAGGGCCCTGTTTTATAGGGGAAGGAGGGCAGCTGAATTCTCCCCCTGAGCCCACCGCACTCAGTTACCCCCCCCCCCCAGGAGCTCTTCTCCCAGCCCAGCTGCAGCACCACAGTCCTAAAGACGCTCTCCTGAGGCCCCGCCCAGCCTTCTGGCCACATCTTGAGCTCAGGGGGTGTCGTCTCAGGAGCGGGGCCTTCTCCGTGGTGGCACCCTAGACGCGGAATGCCCTCCCCTACCACCTGCCTGGCACTGAACTATCCAAGGGCCCGACACTGGGGGCGTGATGTTCTCTCTCATTCACCCAGACCCTTCCCAAGACACATCTCCTGCACCAGCAACCTGCCCTATAAAGCAGACGGCTTTGCCAGGCCTCTCTCGTCAGACAGTTAGCTGCAGCACCTTAATTTCATGTGCATATCGTAATTTCTTTCGAGGTAGGAAGCATTTTTTTACACTGATCCGAGGTTTATGAGCACGTATTATTTGTTTTATGGCTTTACTAGGGTTTGCTTCCTTTTTAAATGTTGATTCGGACCTGTTTCCATTACGTTAAGCAGCCTCTCGGAATCCACTTTGGCACTGGCGGGGTCTAAAAATGGGAGCTAAAATCAAACAGATAGAGACCGGGAGGAAGGCGAAAAGGTCCAGAGAAGAGCAGGTGCAGAGAAGGTACAGATATGAACAAAGCCTACGGGATTCTGCAGCATGCAGAGAAAATGCCCAGAGAGCATCTTTTCTCTCTCTTCCGTAATACCGTAGCCACCCTTACAACACTGACTGGCAGCGGATTCAAGATACACAGAAGCAGTTCTTCACTCAAACAGTGATTGGCTTGTGAAAGTACAAATTAAGCAGCCCACGCACAGACACGGCAGAAGGGAATCAGTCCACACCTTGGCCGTGGCTGCATCTTGCTCAGCCCATATTATGGGGAGGGGGCATGCCAGAAGGAACTGTGGGAAAGCTGCTTGCCCAGGACCCTTGGACAAGTTCACAACAGAAGCAGGATCTGAACTCAGGACTTCCTGGTTCAAGACCTTGGCCATCACCTTGCAGGACATCCCCCAATGCTACCGCCTTGACCTCAGGGCCAGGCTCTGCAGGATGACTTTAGGGATCGCACGCGTCATTCCTCTCCACCAACTTAAAACGACCAACGTCGTCATCTGGAATCACGCAATTCAAGATTTGGGCGTGTGTGAAATCTCCTGAACTTGAGATGCGAAAAGGCCTCACTGCAAGAAACACACTTGCAGGGGCCGTTTCCAAAAACACTCATCCCTCCACCAATGGGCTTCCCTGACACCCACGTGCTCTTTCCCAAACCAAAGGGCCAGTCCTGGCCTTCCCCCCACCTAGCTGTGGCAGGGGCTCCAGAAGGACCCAGGAGCTGCAGGGAGCAGCAGTGCGGATGAAGTACTGGAAGGTGCTTGGCTTTCCATCTCCCGGATTTTGTGATTGGACTCAGCACCCCGAGGTGGCCAATCCATGGTGGCACCCACCTCCCAGCCTCAAAATTTCCAAAGCACCCACAGGCTTAACAAGAAGAAGAGATTGGATTTATACCCCGCCCTTCACTACCCAGGGGAGTCTCAGAGCGGCTTACAAACTCCTTTCCCTTCCCCTCCCCACAACAGACACCCTGTGAGGGAGGCGGGGCTGAGAGAGCTCTGACAGAAACTGCTCTTTTTCAAGGACAGCTCTGACAGAACTATGGCTTGCCCAAGGTCATCCAGCCAGGTGCCAAGTGGAGGAGTGGGGAATCAAACCCGGTTCTCCCAGATTAGAGTCCGCGCACTTAACCACAACACCAAACTGGCTTGGTTGGGGACTCCTCTCCTAAAGCATCCAGTGTAAGTAAAAGCAACCCAGTAACGATGGGACTCTCTGGCCGCTTATACGTGTGCTCCCCCGGGGGAAGGGGAGGAGGGAGGCCTGAGGAGGACCACCCTGCGGGAGAGGGAGCCCAAGCCCACCATGCCAACCTGCTGCTCTTTAAGCTGCCGTCCTCAGAGACCGTTTTGGAAGAGCCTTTGTTCTTGGAGAGCCAGGACTTCACGCCGTCCACGCGGTCTTCTAGCTCTGAATCAGCGTCCGAGTCGCCCTCACTGAAATGGCAGTGGGGAAAAAGGAAGAGGAGGATCAGTGACCACCCTCCAAGGGACCTTACGGCATTCGTTTGGCATGCACGAAAACATCTAGCCAAGAAAGGGTTAATTGGTGTTACAAAGGCAAGCCCTAACCCCGCCCCCAGCCCATGCTCCTTGCACTCCCTGTCCCAGGAAGGAAAGAGAATCGTCCCCTAATCCTCCACTCCACTCCCCTTCCAAGGCCAGAAGAAACCCTACAGCCTCCCTAGCAGTGGCCAAGCACCCACTCTCCACCTGACAAGGATCTCCAGCCATCAGGGACGGCCTCAGACACAACCTCTTCTAAGTCACCTCTGTCAGCCCAACGCTGTGCCTGAGTCTCCCTCGTCAGCCCGACACTGTGCCTGAATGTCCCTCGTCAGCCCGACATTGTGCCTGAGTCTCCCACGTCAGCCCGACACTGTGCCCGAGTGTCCCTCATCAGCCTGACACCGTTCCTGAGGCTCCCTCGTCAGCCCGACACCGTGCCCGAGTCTCCCTCGTCAGTCCGACACTGTGCCCAAGGCTCCCTCGTCAGCCCGACACTGTGCCCGAGTCTCCCTCGTCAGCCCGACACTGTGCCCAAGTGTCCCTCGTCAGCCCGACACTGTGCCCGAGGCTCCCTCGTCAGCCCGACACTGTGCCCAAGTCTCCCTCGTCAGCCCAACGCTGTGCCCAAGTCTCCCACGTCAGCCCGACACTGTGACTGAGTGTCCCTCATCAGCCTGACACTGTGCCCGAGGCTCCCTCGTCAGCCCGACACTGTGCCTGAATGTCCCTCGTCAGCCCGACATTGTGCCTGAGTCTCCCTCGTCAGCCCGACACTGTGCCCAAGGCTCCCTCGTCAGCCCGACACTGTGCCCGAGTCTCCCTCGTCAGCCCGACACTGTGCCCGAGGCTCCCTCGTCAGCCCGACACTGTGCCCGAGGCTCCCTCGTCAGCCTGACACTGTGCCCAAGTCTCCCTCGTCAGCCCGACACCGTGCCCAAGTCTCCCTCGTCAGCCCAACACTGTGTCCGAATCTCCCTGCCTGTTCTTGTCCTCCTGGGTCAGCTTTACCACTCTGCCCCAGGCTAGGAAGTGGTACAGCTTCTCAGTCAAACCCCCTAAATCCCAGTTCCTCCCTGAATCTCTGACTTAGCCTGTCCCCCCCATCCACCCCCCAGCAGTCTCCAGTCACACCAGCAACAGTGTCTTAAGCACAGAATGACACTCCAAGGTAACCGTCATGGCTTCCCTATCTCCCCAAAATGCAGGCAATTGCAGCCTGGGAGGGGCCAAGGATCCTGTTGGATCAGAAATGGGGTGGGGATCTCTTACAGTGCCCATGTCCCAAGTACGATTCTCAGAGTAGGAGGCCACTACCTCAATTTATCCAGCATTTATTTATTTATTACTTTAGATTTGTGAATCGCCCAGTCCCTGCACACACAAGGCTCTGGGCAATGTACACCATTAAAGCAATGTTCAAATCGATAAAATCTATAAGTTCATTACATAATCTCAGATGGCGTCAATAATTTTCTTCATATCCACTTGCCGTCTTGTGGGCAGGGCAAGGAGGGGGCCAAAGTGCAAAGATGGAGGAAAAGAAGAAAAGGACGCCAGCCACGATGGTATAACACCAGTACGTGCATCTAGAGCAGGTATTAAGTAACCCCCAGAAGTATGAATGTGGGGGGGGGGGAATATTGCAACGGAAATGATGGATTTCTTTTTTTAAAAAAAGATGGTGTGTGTGTGTGGGGGAAACAGAGAATGGCTTAAAACGAGGGATGTCTGAAGATAATGGTTAGAAACTAGCCTCGTGGCCCCCTCCCCCACTCCCTCGGGGCTGGCTCTTACCCCTCTGGAATTAAATGACTCTTCCCGCTGCCAAATTTGACAGGCTCCTAGTGTTTAAAAAAAAAAAAAAGCAAGCACCCCACACACCCCTCCCCTCAATTCCTGGCATA